TTCTTGAACGTGCAAAAACGCATGGAGACGTAGACTTCAAGAATCGAGACGTCATTTTCCAACATTCCATCGCATACGGTATAAAAGCAATTTAATAATTTGTTTTATTAGAAATGTTTCGCAGACTAATTTTCAACGGATTATCTAATGCTAAGAGACTAACAAGAAATAATTTTTTCTTTCTATACTCGATTCCTATTTCCTGATATACTTAAATTAAGCACTGATGCACAAAAATAAGATTTCTCTCGATTCACGCTCGAAGAAAGAATCTATTAAGAGATGACTTTTCACCGAGGAACTAAAAAAATTAATTCTCAAAATTGGATGTTAAAGAAAATAAATTATCTAGAAACAAGGTATCGTTTTCTTGGACTATTTGAGGGATTTGGTCTAGCGATCAAAGTGTCAAATCATCCGTTTCTATTTTCAATAAACAGATACAGTAAATGATTAACTTTCACTTACGCTGTGCAACTAGAAACTGCAAGAACGATGGATAAAATTCGGGAAACGGGCGAGAGCACGAACCAATCTAGAGGCAAAAAGACCACTGGAGCCTGTCAAAGGCAGAACTTGCGTTCCCACGAGAGGGAATTAACCGACTAGTTTTTCCACGAATGGGTTAGAGGCTCCTATCCCCGTCGAGAAAGCAATCGTACGCAAGAAGCGAAGAATTCCGACGGCAAATGTCATCGAAGTCCGCGGCGTCGAACCGTGACTTGAACTCTCACCGTTCATCCGCGACGCGTTATCTACTGATAGGGGACATCGTCGTGTTTATGCTCGTCAAACTACCGATATCCGCGACTAGAGCACAGAAAGACGCCGCCTAATCGCTAAACGCTCCAATGTTGATATAAATGAATCACACTGGCGCTCCTCTCGAGAGGCCTTCGATCACTCGCGTCACCTAAATTCCGAGGAACTTCTATCCCGAAGTTTCTTACGGTCGTAACTTATCCTCCCCGAGGAGCCTGCAACGCCACGGCGAAAGCACAACGCTCGAAAATGGCGATTTCTAGCATTTAACAATTTTCACGCATATGTGCAGAGGAATGGGAAAGCAGTTAACAGTCTCGTAATTTTTCTCAAATGTTTCTTGCCCAACAATCTTAAGTAGACGAGTTTTATAATAGAGTCGATCAGAATACTAGTTTAGAAGAAGAACTGACAAAAATATATGACACAGAGGCGGAGGTTCGAAAATGAGTGATCAAAGTTCAGGTGTGAATCAGGGATAAACGATGAGGTAACTGAGGTAAGGAATTAGTATTTCTTGCAGCTCTTATAGAAAGAGGATATCACTACTGATATATAAACATGGTGAGACTCGAAGATCGAAATCCCAGAGGTAATAAAACTCGTCCAATTAGTCAGAAATTTAGTATTTATATAAGAATGCTGTATTGAAACTAATATAATCTTTACGTTTTTTGCTGTAACATTTTTAACTATTTACGAATTTTCTTTCCATTACTTTGACGCCATTGAAAGGTTTGTGAGTATATTATTATTTTTTTCCTATATAAATAAGTATATTTGTAGAAATTATTAAATTTCTTTGCACTAAAGAACAAGAAATTTAATTATTTTTAGCCAAAAACATTGCTAGTAACCTTCGAGTGATGTCACGATGCAAGAAAAATTATGTCATATAAAATCCTAACGAACAGTGAAATAACCTTTCTCCAAAAATTTCGATCGTTAAATCTGAATTCCAAATCCGAGATTTTCTGCAGCTTTCCGGTTTAAAAGTCATTTTAACGCGCATCTCCTCCACACGACGGTTTGTTTCAGCGAGTAATTATTCAGAAAAACACTCAGACGGTCCGTGGAAGGTTTAGGAAAACGGAGTAATCGTAAAACTGCTGGGGAGCAACAACTGCTGCATCGTTCGCCAAGAATTTTACCGCTCGCAACGGTGGAAAACTGCTTTAGGTACTCCTCCGAAAAGTAACGTTGCACAGAAAACGTGTACGTGGGCTTAACGATAACTAGAAACGTCCACACACGCGCACGGAGCAAACCATTTATGCGAATTCTTCTAATGCGGTGAACAAACTGCCATTCCTTGTACATACAACGCGGTGAATTACACTTGTGGTTTTTCTTCCAAAGGAAATTTTATACACAAAAATTGCCTTTCGTACACGTGTTCTACACCATCTTATAGTCTCCGTTCTTCTCTATCGATCCTGTTTATTATATTTATAATTGAACTTTTCATTCGCCAATAGTAAGCACTACCGAATAAAACGAAGGTTTCCAACTTCCACTTCACGAATCGAATTAAAATTAAAAAATAATCTTTGTTAAAGAAAATAATATTGGTTCCCAAGATTAACTGTCACGCGCTGGCGATTTATGCTAATAAGATGAACTATAACTAGCAATTACACAGTCTATAGGTACGTATTATTCATAAGTTTGAAAGTGCGAATATCACACGTGTCGATTGAAGAAACCAATAATTAGCCTATCGCATGTTCTCGAGACACCCAATATTCCTCTGCATTATTATTCGGTGACGAAAACTGACACTTCAAAATAAATTTTAAACAAAGACCTTCCGAACATGCTCTAGAAACTTGCACGAAGTTACACGAAATTGCTACGAACGAATTTTTAAAACTCAGAGACGAAAAATCGCTAGAAATTTCGGAAGATAACACGAATAATATAGGAGAATATATAATTTGTACTACTATTTATGTAAAAATTAAGTTGTTTTGGAGCACCAAACACCACTCGAATTTATGCATCGATAATATCTTTCGAAGAGCAATAGTTTCACTACACACGTCACAGATTTTCGTAATGATTTTGAAAACGAACCACGATACGTAATCGTTATGGTACTCAGGATCTTTAAACACGATTATCACAACTTTCCTATCGTACGTCGATTAACATAAATATTGTTTTCCGATTGCTTTGAATGGTTAAAAATATGCCACGTTAAAATGTTTATTTCCTAAAGAGGCCATTTTTCAACATTGTCCTTCCTTTCAGCGTTGTTTCACGAACACTCGAGATTCTTCAGCGCTTTACACTTTATAAAGATAGATAGATAATGAATTAAAAGCCAATATATATAACGATTTTTCACCAGTCACAATTTTTAAAAACGATTATTTCACTATTGCTTAGGATTTTATATGATAATTTAATGATTACCAGCACTGCTATCGTGGAAAACTTGAGAAAAGTCTCGTATCGTGGAAATCACGGAGACTCTTCTACACAAAGTTTCGTTTGACCTGTCAGATACTTTTCCAACGTTTAATTAACCACTTTGGAAAGAAACTGAAAATCACACATCACTTATTAGGTGAGTCCTATTTGATAATCCGATCTCCAAGCGCATTTGTCACAATTTTCCCATCACGCGTCAATTAAACTATCATCTCTCGATTCTTCAGAATTCATAGAAAGTTTCATAACAAATTTAGTTTCCCGATATGTGTTAAAAATGGCCAGTTTTGAAAGTCCTTTTCTCGACACGTTGTTTAGCGAACACTCGAGACTATTAGTTTCCGCGAGTTAAGTTTTGGCGCGATTCCATAGCTAACGAGGCGAAACTACCGGTGTAAGTACGTAATTAAGTTCGACGCGTCAGATTTTTCGGAAATGTCACTATTGGCCAGAATTTTCCAAACAAACTAAAGATTCCTATCACTGTACAAATCACTAAACCACAAATCAGGGAAAAATATTTTTAGAACAATTGCTTTTCTATAACAACACATCGATAAACCTTCCACCGACTTTCCAAACGATTTTCCGATTAATCACTTGGGAAACAAATCACGTTTCGATGGAGTCAAGAATGACATCACCTAGTTAAATTGCACTAGATATGCCTCTCCGACCTCCGGATGCATTTGTCACAATCTTTCCGTCGTCGATCAAACGATCGTTTCCTGATTCCTCGAGATCTATAGAAGAAGACACGTTGTACAAAGAATTTTCTCTCCCAATGTGGTCTGAACGTGTCAAGGAAAAGATGATTTTCAAAAATAGCTATTTCTAACAGATATCGGGAAACTAAGTTTTATATAAAACTTGTGATTTTATAAATTCTAAGGAATCGGGAGATGAGACTCGATGTTCCATGTGTTAGATTTTTCGAAAACGATCGTTTCACTCTCAGAGTTTCGAACCACGACACCAAATACTAGTAAACACTGTTGTCGCGAAAACGGAGCAACACTTTTCCCTAAACTTCCCACAGACGTTTCAAAAAATTTCCTAATTAATCACTTTGGAAGCCACGGGTAATGAGAATTCAAGAATCACTTAAGCGAGTCGTACTCGACACGCTACTCCCTCGTACGTTACCCAAACTTTCCCCGATTTGCGTTGCAAAACCTTCTTTTCGACACGTGCTAAAAATGGTGACGCGTGGGGAATCGAAGATCCAGCGATCCATCGTGGCCGACGGTGGTCGCTGACAGTTTCTCTATCGATCTGTTCGATTCTTTTAATTCCTATGGTCGAGCTTTGAACCGTGTTTCGAACGACTCCGAGCAGGTAACAAAACGCGTCCCTCGACGAGTCTTTGAAAACGGTTTACGAGGAGGCTCTCGTCGCAGCGGAGTATCCTTTCGAGGTCAAGCTTGGCCGACCGTGCTCCGAAATACGTGCACGAGGGCCGGCAGCCGCTGTACGTGCACAGATTCTCGGGTCACGTGTACAGAGTACGTCGTAATCGCGGGTCTCTAAACTCGTCTGTGCCATGGCTTTGAGCATCGGCTTGTAAAACGAGACCTAATGCGAGCTCTTCCCGCGGGAGACGCGTCAAAGTCACCGGTGCCGTCGGTTCTCGTGACCTTTGGTTTCACGATAGGATAGCACGCTGCCACGATCGCCTCGTTTTCCACTCGCTGGTCGAGACCTTCTTCCCAAAACGACGCCTGTTTCCCGGCTGGAAAGCGCGGGAACCGCGATATCTTGAACGGATCGATGGGGGTTCAATCCGGGTCGGATGTACTTACAAGATGGAAGACGAAGACGGCGTGGTCGATGTACATCGCACGAAACTTGAACGGATAACACACAGAACTGTCACTGACACTCCGTAAATCACTCCGTTTTCAGGTTGGTATCCAATCGAAGCGAACTAGATCGACAATCCCTTATCGATCTACGGTTCCGCAGGATCGGGACACCGATCGCTGTCCTGGCGTCCGACGGCTAGGCTTCGCGGCCGAACCGGAGGTCCTTCGAACGCTCCCCGCGTTACGTTCGTCGATCACCAGGACGAGATTATATGATACTGGGCACTTGGATCCTCGTTAAAATTATTCTTCACTTCCGCGTCGTTCACTTGCACGTCGAGTCTCACTGACGATCGGAGCCAAGGGACCACGTCACACTCCCGCAAAACGAGATAAATAAGACCGTCGAGCACTGAAAAACCTTCTGCTACCCAGTACACAACGTGACGCGAAGAACTTGTTTCGCACTGTAAATAATCGGTCCACTCCGAAATTCTCCCTAAACGATAATCGCGATCGCTATCGGGACCGTGTATCTCGCGCGACGCGAGTCACCACGGTGATCATATCCGAGATCGTACAGAGTCACCTGGTCCCGAGTGAAACGAATCAGCCGATGAGGCCATACACCAGGTCGCCGCGCGGTGATCGTCCACGAACAGGAACAACGGACACGCTCGATCCGCTTCCAGCGGCGTCGACGGAGAAACTAACCGAGCCAAGGGGACAGGAGAGCGTCACCCCCCACCAACGACGCACCGAGTAGATCCCCACCGCGAGACCGGCTGGCGATTCCCCTCTCGCGCCTAGTCATCCACCCCGTCGCCTCGCCATCCACGGCAACCAGCCCCGCTTCTAGCCTCCGCTCACTCTACCCCTCCCTCCCGCCCCGCCAATTCCTTCGCGCTCACAAACCCGACAGAACGTACTTCCCCTCTCCAAACCCGATCCCGCAGACTTCAACGTTCTCTGCCTCCCGAGTTCAGGCTGTCTCGCTCTCGTAGCTTGCCCTCGCTGTCTGAACTCTCAAGGTGGAGGCACTCGGCGACCGGAGGAGATGCGCTCTCTCCGGTATCTTCTCGTTTTGCCTCTCGCGAGCCGGCATTTCTCCCGCGTGTGCGTGTGCGCCTAAGCGAACAGTACGCGAGAAAGGCGAACCGTTAGGTGGTAAGATCCGAGGGTGTTCTAACGACTCGAACAGACGACAGTGTTTGACGCGTTCCCGCGTCTCGCGCGATTTCTTCCAATCGGAATTCTAATTCGAGGTAGGAAAACGAGTGTTACGTGTGCGCGAAACGATTAACAAATTGTCAGCTTTTTGGAAAACAGTCGCAAACTACCGTTAACCCCTTGATGTACAATGACGAGTCTGACTGGTTACAAGTTCTTGAGGTCAAGTTTCACAATCATCAGGCTACTCACTTGTCATCAAGTCTTCTATATTAAAATCAACACTTTTTCACATTCATGAGGTAATCGTAAAATACATTTATTCTTTTTCGTGGCCATTATTTCTAAAACGAAATTTAAACAAAATTAAATAGTATACGTTTGAAAAATTATTTGAAATTAAATCGTACGTCAAGGAGTTAATTCTTTCGATTATGTATAATTAAATATGTGGTGTCTCGTTATGATCTCGCTATGACGCTGGACTCTGATGAAAATTGAAACGTACGATAAAACTGTGATTATTTTTTAAAATTTGCATATAACAGAATAAAGTTTGAAAGCAAGAGAAAAGATACCTGTTACAGAATTGAAAAATCGTGTTAGTGCTCCGAAACAAAAAATCTCGTTTCTGGCCGTCAGTGTACGTCTTGTAAAGACGAGAATTCTCGTTACCTGTCCGATTTAACACGTTGACTGTCAGGCCAAACCACTCAAGTTGTCCATGAAAACGAAACTTTGTTTTTAAAGGATTAGAAACTATTTTTACAGCCTCGTTAAAATTCAAGAGTCTTATCTAGATTTTTTTTTCTTCAAAATCTAATCAATCAATTTTATTTATTTTTAAATGATCTTTAAGAGAATTTTATAACGCAAGAAATACGTAAAAATTAGACGCACCTTCTACAATAATTTTTGTCGCTCGGTGGAGATTCTTTTCCGAATATGAGTGATAGAAGTTTTTCTCGTATAGCTGCTTTAAGTTGATCCAAACGTGAATAATATATCTTGTTATTAATCGTCTGGTTATGCGGTCAAAGTTTATAATAAAGTATTGCTTTGAAACCTTTTTGGAGTAAAATTTAAGATTGACATTTCCTTTCACGGACCTTGATATCTAAAATTTATCTACTTGCATTGAGTAATGCTTTCGAGAAGATGTTCAACCTCAGAAATGCGAGCTAATAGCTCTTAAAAGTGAGCTTACGTCGAGAGGTTTTGTTGTGGGAACTATACCTTCTAAAAGCAACATATGGTCTCTTGTCCCTAAAGATGAATGCCCGATCCCAGTTCATATAGCGCTACGTGGGATGGCATTCTTCTGCCTACCTCTGTGAATCGTCATTCTCGACTATGGAAATAGTGAAGAACAAATATAGATACAAGCTTACAGGTGACTATTTCGACGATCGAATAAAGTACGAAGTTGTAAACTATGTATTCTTTAAATTTCAATAAAATTGTAGACGAAATCGAGATTGCAATACACGGATTATTAAAGTTCTTTCGTTAAAAAAATTCCCCTGTTTATCATATCTCTATTATCTATCATTTATATTTACGAATGTGTATCAAGTATTATGTTTCACAAAAATAGCTTGCTGAGAATTATATAATTTCTGGTTTAGTAAAAGCAACGTCCAATTGTTTCCATATTTAAATTTACAACATTCAAAAGCAATTAAATTTAAAAACAATTCCACCGTTTGTCTCTTGTTACATTAAGTTATAAAATTGTCTCGTTTGCTGAAACTCGTCGTTTCACCCTGCTTGATGCGATTAAGTTTCTGTATATACATTTTATTTTTCTATTTTTATTTGGCTAATGAAATCGAAAACTAAGTATAAGATGTATCGATTATAAAAAAAAAACAAAAAGTATTTTTTTTAAATTATTATTCACAGAAAATTCTTCTAATAATTAATTTCTACCAAAGAATTTTTCGATAAGAAAGGAAATCCTACTTTGTGAGAACACAATCCATTAGGATAACAGAACGTTCGAATAGTAAAATGCACAGTTAGTTTCTCGCGATCGTAAGTTAAATTCCTCGAAATAAATTCGATTCGTTACAGAGAAGAATCGCTAACAAAGAAGCGCCATCGAAAGATTTACCAGTTTCCTTGTTAGCTTATCTGGCGGATGTTTTGTCAGGGCGAACCGTTTAATTCAATTTCATTTTAATTTACAAGAAATTGCTTCTCGAGATGCAAGTGACAGACGTAACAGTAAAATAATTCAAGTGTTTACTCTGTCTTCCCCGACGCGGTGCATTTCCGCGGCCTTTCGGACTGCTTCGAAGTTTCCGCTATCGAAATACTGGCGAGCCGTTTAATTTCCACCAAAGATAGAAAGCACCGTGTTTATTAAGGACCATACGTTACTATTTTTCGTAAGAGAAATCGCTATTTGTTTCATGACGTTTAATAGGTATTTATCGTCATTACGATTTCAAATTTTCAATCTATTTTTAAATTTTTGATTACTGTGAGAAGTTCATTGTTTCTACTTTTTAATAAACAACTAATAATTTAAGCACCTATTGTACTTTCTAATGTAACAAATAATATAGCAGTACACCTGCAATCACTTTTTTTTACCTTTAAAGAAAACTGTTTCATTTTTCCTCTATTCCTCTATAAAATTCCTCTATTCTTGCTCAAAACATTTTTTTATTGTAGTTTTGATCAAAACTATATTCATGCCAAACACGGGGTGTCGTCATTCTTTTATTTCGAATTAATAGAATTTTTTAAACCAGGTATACCAAGCTTTTTTCACCGTGGCTTTTTGTTCAACGTTTATTAAATTAATACTTTTTTACAAAAAAAATATAGTCACACTCGTTTAGAAAGGGCCACGGGTATATAAAGATCGATATTTTCGAATGATTGTTCACTCTGACCGTACACATTTGGGAAAATTGAGAAATACCGAAGTGAAATTTTTAAAACTGTTATTCACTTTTGCGTTCATAATAAAAATTTTAAATGAAATTTAAATGATGCACGAAAGTTGTGGTTTCAAAATTACGGGCAAATGAATCGTGTCTTGTAAAGATTTAATGTTCGTTGGAAATTTGGCATCGTCTTTAGGACAATATTCAGTGTGGTACAAGAAAAAATGTTGAATGATAGGATACATTATCAGTTTTAATTTCTAATTCAATGGAGAAATGTTTGAGTCCTTGCAATGTTAGACAAAAATTAAAATATTTCCCAAAATATTGAGCTTCTGAATTAAATAATTCCATTTGAAAGAACAGTGCAATGGCACTCTGTAAGCGCATCAATGCATTTGAAGCAAAAGACATGGAAAAATCAATATCACGTGAAATATGTATATAAAACATATTTATGACAATTGCAGTTACTTACAATAATAAAAACAAAGTCATTATTTCAATAAAATTTTCTGATTTCATCGAACACAGCAAAGGGTTAAAATTATAGAAATCTTGTTCCATCTTCGCGTAGAACGTAGCTGTATTCTAGCGCAGATTATAAACTCACCCTGAATAGATATAAAAATTCTTCCGTCGCTTGAATTTACAGTGTGACTAAAATCCCTCTAAACAGGGCTAAGGTGTCCTAACGACAAGAACGCGTTAAAACAGTAATGCTGTTCGATTACACCGAGTCACTTCGGTTTCTTTGTCGCTTATCACGATACACTGATCCAGGGGTTAAGTCTCTTAAACCGTCCGCGAGGAAGTAGGAGCCAGTGTAAAGCGTTCGCGAAACCACGCCGACCACGTAACGGAGCGTGTACACACGCCCGGTACATGAAATACGTCGCATCCCCGAAACTTATTCATCCGTATCTCCAGGAAACGGTGAAAACCGCCCCTGGACAAAAGAGGCACCCCTATCTCCGAGGTATCGCATAAACAACCGTAGATCGCGATCTTACTTGAGAATGTACGATCCCCACTACTTTTCCTCCCACGCCCCCGTCTGGTCTCTCGGAACACCATCGAGAGAGCGAATTTACAAAAGAGACGCTCTCGACAGCGCAACTTGCCAATCCCTCCGCTCTTTCTCCCGCTAATCCCAAAAGTCCATAAATACTGGAAGGGAGTTTATTCTCCGAAGGGTCGTTTACAGGATCACAGTTGTACTCTGACACGGGCCGGTGATGACGCTTTAATCCAGTCGGGAATGTAGCTGTGTTCGCGACATCGTTTCGGTCGCCCGATAACGCTTCAATTACTGTCGTATCCGCGAATTCATCCAAGTGTTGTTAGCGTTCGCCAGCACGACGTTAAAAGCTCGACGTGAATTTGACCGAGAAACGGATCCGAACGGATATTTAGTCATCGTTTGCGAACGAAAGCTACGCTTCGCGTTACTAAAAACTGCCGTTCGAATCAAGATTTGTAGCTTACAACGGTTTAACACACATATGGATGACATCAATTTTCACCGAAGAGCTGGACCAATTAATTCTCAAGATTGGATATTAAAGAAAATACATCCAAGTTTTATGACAAATTGTGGATATGCCAATTTTCAACTGTC